TAGGGGGCCTTTGGTTAATGATCACTCTCTACCAACACAAGTATACCAGAAGACGATGAGGATTGTTAGTGTACGAGTATTCTCGTAATTCAACGACTAATATGAACCTCTATGTATTATTGTATCAAGGGGTATCTCCATGTCCAAGTTCCCAATTGCCACGCCCAGAAACTCCGTCGTCATTTTGCTGATAGGCGCTGGTGGCGCCCTTTATCGGCGCTACTCCCGATGCCCCGCAGCAGTTCCCTGGAATTCCTTGAGCTTGCGCGACAATAGGCCGTGGCCAGCCTCAACTGGAGTGGAAGTGAAGCCTTGTGCTATTGAAGAACCATTGGAAGCCGGCCATGGCACAGGCGAACTTCGCGAAGATGTTGAAGGTAGAAAGCCAGGAGTGGGAGAAACAGTGCGCTCCAGATCGGACCCCTCATCTTCCATTCGAGAAGCTTGCCCCACGCCCGTCGAGTCACGGTGGAATGTCGAGGTTGCCGGAAGATTGAATGAGGCAGGGGTCGAGCTTCCCGATGGCATGAAATGGGTGTCCGTACTGCTTGAACGGACGACATCGCCCAGCTTGCCAAAATCAGAAGAACCTTGCGCCCGTGATTGAGCAGGTAGTTTCTCATCTGCCACGCTCGAGCTTCGCGAATGCTGCCCCACCGCCGGTTTATAGGCAGTGAATCTTGGTTCCGGCAGCTGAACTTCGTTCCGTAGCTTCTCCTTATCGTCTGGCACACGGTTGGCAAATACCACGCGGATATTGTCGTAGAGATAGAAACGTCCCTTTGCCGTACAGCAAAATTTGAGGTGAATGAGATAGCGCAGGATGTCCTTGGTGTTCAGAGGATCTCGAGCAGCCAGGACAGCTTGTTTGTCCGATATCCCTGGTTCAAGGATGGGGCCCGACGAGTAACTCCGCTGTCGTACAAATGTCTTTGTGCCAGGCAGCATCCCTTCCAGATCGTACGGAACCAAGAATAATTTGACCGCCGTCTTGTTGGGGTTCTTTATAATGAGCTGCAGTTGTCCTTTCTGGGGCACCCTGTACGCTCCACCGGCAGGGACTTTGGACGGCGTTGGTGTAGTTTCCATCTTTTCTCGGCCTTCCTTAGCCAAAGCCCTGCCGATGGCTGTATTCTCTGGCCTTGTAATTTCATCCGCTAATGCGTCGGGGTCAAGGTTGACTTGGGGCCGCCGCGTCCGACGGCGTGGCTCCTCTGGTATTTTCAAATTATGCTCCAGGTCGATATTGCCAACGTAAGGGCTGGGATTGTCGTCCGAGATTGACCTGGACGCACTTGCAGAAGGATAGTTATAGAAGACCGCTGGGAATGGAACGGTTACGTGGGCCGGGCACTTCAGGCTGGCTGGACAATTACCCTTTCCCATAACTCCGATTTGTGCCACAAAGTCAAGAGGCTTCGACGGAGGAGTAGACATCCTGCCTCGAAGAATGGACTCCTCGAAAGAGCCGACCATTGATGCTCGATGCCGCGCGGATCCGTCAGCGGCCAGCGAAGTTCGGCGTTGTTTCAACCAAGGAGGTACCTGTGGAACCATGGATGCTTGGTATGTGAAAGAGCTCAAAGAACGACGTGGTCGGTGCCCGTAGGGAGTTGAAGGACCATCACGGTGCTGCAAGTGCATGTAAGGTAGTGGACGACTGAAGTTGGGCGTGACAGCGTCCACTGGAGAGACGTGAAGGGATTCAAAGGCGTTGGGAGGCATTGTTCTCCTTCTCGCCGACCGTCCGATTTCGTTCTTCTGAGGATCCTTTGGCGAGAAATCCAGTGTAGGGTTATTTGTCGCGTGAACTAGGGGGCTCGTCGGGATTCGCATGACGAAGCTTGAAGATAAGCTGCTTCCCAAAGAAGGGGCACGCGACCTTCTGAGTATATCCGAAGGAGAACTCTCCTGCCACTTAAAGCTCAGGGTCGGCGAAGTATCTGCCTGCCAGAGTGGAGGAGAATCATTATAGTTGAGCCCAAGATCCTGCCTCCTGGGCGTAGAGAGAGATGCATGCTCCTGGGGAGTCTGTGTTGTCCTGTCCCAAAAGTCACCGAGAAAATCGCCCGTATGCAAGGGAGACATTGAGCGGCGTAGTGCATCGGCCGCAGAAAGTGGAACTGGTCTTGTTCCTGCGTCCTCGATTCCCACCCGAGATCTTGTGCTTTGGTCAGGTTGCACGTCATACGTTTGCGACAGCGAGGGAGATGTCGCAGCAGCGTCTTGGTCAGCATTGACTCTGGCACACGTAGCCTCCAACCCAGACTTCGGGACCCATGTTGTCCGCTGCCCCCTCTTTATACATTGGATCAATTCCTCTCTATCGCTTGTCCGAATTGGTAACTCATTCTTCTCTCCATACTCCTCTCGTTTCGAGGTATTATATCTCTCTGGACTTGGGGTATGTTCAAATGGAAATTGTTCCTCCTCGTTGTCATCATAATGGGGTGTGCTGTACCGAGCCATTTTTGAACACAGTTTCCGTCTTTTGGCTGGAGATTCTGAAAATGGTTCACGTTCCCAGACAAAGGGCATGCTCGCCTCCCTCCGACCACAGACGCTTTACCACACGCACTAGAAATGATAGGCTGCCAAGATGAGCCCCGACTGAAAAGATTTGACAGGTGGAAAACATCACGACTGGGCCACAAAGACCAGGAGAGACGATATCCCGAGTTACTGTTGCATGGTCGATCGGTTGAGGACTTTGGTGATGGTCGACGGTGTGTGGGAACGCTGGAGTTGGAGACTCCTTGGATTGCACTCTCGAGGCAGATGGGTAACGGGAACAGGTCAAGGTCAGATAGGAACCAGGAACAGCAACAAAATAGAGCTACGAGTAGTTGCAAGGACGAGGTGACAAGAGAGTAGTTCCAGGTTGAGGTGAAAGCCCGAACCGCAGATGGTGGAGTGATTGAGTCATCCGGAGCTGTCCCTGACAGACGAGCCATGTGAGCCAACAATGGGCGCCAAGGGGAAAGGGTCCGCCTCGGTGCCGGTTGATCATCACCCCCCACTGCGTAATAATTCACCTACCACACGAGGTAGGAGCAACTCCATGATCTGTTGGGCCTCAGGCACCAAACCCAGCCCCGAAGCGGACAAGCTGAATTCAAGCTACAACAGACACAGCTACGGGAGGGATTTTCTGCTGTGCGGCACAACAAACTGTACGAAAAATGCGTTGTCTCGAGAGGTGCCCAAAGTAGAGGTATGCCTTGTGTCATTGGTGATAATTAGGCAGGCCTCGGAGAGTGTGTCCACCTGGTACAGGTTCCCGGAGCCCCGAACGGATAGCCCTAAGAACGAGAGATAGGCGGTAAGAACAGACCCACTACAGACTACCAACATGATTCGGTTCCTACCTACCTAGGTACTGTCTGGGTAGGTCCCAAGGTACCAGACTGAGGACTCGGTACTCGATGGAGGATGAGGTTATGTGGCCTGCGATGGTCCTTTGTCTTGTATCGAGCGAAGTTCTGTTGGCCCGATGGGACCCAGACCTGTGGTACAAGAGATAAGGTAATGTCGGTGGACATGTCGAGGAGTATGAGTGACCCGTTTGCTCGTCCAACCTAGTACCTAGTTATTTAGTATGAGGTATGCAACTCCGCAAATCACATGGATGATTCCATCCCATCGATTTTTTTTTCCGCAGCGTCCCACACCTCATAACCTCAACCAAATCGCATTCTTCCACTGCGTTGCATCCTTACCCGAATACGCTCTTCTAGGATTGGCCAAATACGATGAGTGTCAAACGACCTAGCGATGATACGGCTGCCGGTGCGAAGGAGCCCGACAAGAAAAAACGCAAAGGATTCTCTGTCGGACCAGCCAATCTTCCTGATGGCACATACAGGCGTAAAAGTAATGCCTCCCCCAAATAAACTATGCTTCCGTGCTGATATCTGCCAGCACAAAAAATCAAGAACGACCTCATCCAGAAAGCAAAGGTGAAAAAGGCCTACGCGAAAGTCAAAGCTCAAGAGGAGGCCGCACGAATAGCACAAACCGCTACGCAATCCGAGATTAAGCGCAACCCGACTGATAGCCCTCTTAACAATACTTCCGGAAGCCTTGACTTACACCCAGATCGACAAGCAATGCTCAAGAGACCAGAAGCAGGCGACGGACAAACGCAAGTAGTTGAAGACATCACTCAAAACCAGAGTACAAACTTTTACAACCCTCCGAGAAAGCGGACCCCAAAACAATCACGGTATAAGAAAGAAATAGAGCTTGCAGCTCAAAACAAAGCAAAACTTGAGGCTAAAAGGAAAGCTAGAGAGGCTCGGGAGAAAGAGCACAAAGCCATGGCAAAGGCGAAAAGACCTGGTAAGGATGGAAAAATCAAGCTCGGGCGTCAGGGAACCGCATTGTTGAATCGGGTGAGGAGGTTGACCGAGGAGGGCAAGATATGAGACGGAAGCGCCAGCTACCGTCAAAAGAAAGCGCCCGTGCTATGGAAGCGAACCCCCCAGAGGCTCGGATCAGGTCCGTCGACCCTGCTGTCATAAAGACGATTGTGAATAAAGCATACACTGAGAACGGGCTTTCAATGGAACCGCACCACAAGAGTCAGCCTGCAGTGCAGCCGTTGTTACAGGAAGAGCCAATATGACAAAGGCCGTTGAACGAACAACAAAGATCAATGCTTCAAAGGACAGAGTTTATATCACGCCTTCGACCATCAACAGTTCCTCGATTCCACAACGTACACTTCTCTCACAAATGATTGGTCCGTGAACAGAGAGCTATAGACGATCACAAGAATAATCGTTTGCTGATCTCTCACGGTACACATTCCTTACAAACTTTCGATCTGCAGAATGCATCAAAGCTTCGATTCGGCATTGAAATGCCATAACTGCGGTCATGACACCAGTTTTGCTTGCGGTAATAGAGACACAACTCCAGATAATCTTGACCATGCGAAGAACTATCATACTATGCTGGTAAAGAACCATGCATACAATCATTTCTATTACAGCAACATGGAACCTGGAGAAGGCTTGAAACAACAGGCTGAACAGTCTTTTTTTGATCGCTCGGATGATTGGGAAGCATTCGTCGACGTTTGCACTCCCGAAATGGCCGCGCGTACAAAATTTGCCATACTTATCGGTTGTCTTAGCGCCCACCGTGATCGCCTTGCAGGATTTTTCGGTCCACGCTTGGAATCAACTCTCGTCTGTTGGGCCTTGGATCACATGGGAAGTCCGATGTCCGACTTCCTCCGGTGGTCATTGGGCCGAGAAGAGGGAGCGCCAGAATACTGGACGATCGATGTTCTAGACGAGCACCTGACCCTCTGGAGCAATGTCTTTGAGAGTACACCGGCAAAGCACTACGAGGAATATGTCATACGCTTGACCTCGTCGCTGTACCCCTACCAAAACGCCACGAATGGGCCCAGTATTGCCCATGCCCTTTCCTCTGATCCGAAACACCGAAGGTGGGCATATCAGTTGTGGAAAGTATTTTGGCTGAAACATTTTGAACGTGTCACCAAGTCACATCAACTTAATGATGCGGAAATGTCAGACACGCTATAACAACGGTAAGTGATTCTGCAGAGTTGTCATGATGTAGAGTGGTTTGACCGCTTGCGATATTGCTTTTGAGGATGTCGAGTGTTATTTTCGTTGCCTTTAGAACCGGTGTCAGGTTTGGGTCTTCTAGGTAAGCCCTTTGCAATTGCTATTTGGACGAGCTTAGGTGCAGTCCTATTTTGCATCGTTTCCTTTTGTCTCAATCAATTCGTCGTTGGCTGTACTGATATTCATTGCATAACCATTGGCGCCACTTCTCCAAACACCTAGGCTCTCTGGCCGCCTTGTTTCTTTTACAGAATTGCCCGCAAGATATCTTCGGGGACAGGCTTACGGTCACCAGTAGCGACTCAGTCGATTGAAAGCACATCAATGTCTGACTGAATGGAGTATCCATGTCGACGATTCCCCGATATTCATGCTTGTCCTGCTGTTCACTGCATTCAGATGTCAATGTGACGGCTAGAAATAACGAGAACGAAAAACGCAACTCGATCCAAGGCGGTTATTCAGCCGACTTGATCCCCACTACTCAGTTCTTGTAAGTCCTTGTACATGCTGTTCGAAGTACACGCCCGGTGCGATCCCCTTCGTAGCCCAAACCATAATCCAAGGGCTAAGAGGCACAGTGCCGCCAGAGTATATCTCGATATCGTATTAACGCGGTGGCATTTGGAGAAGGTAGATATCTTTAGGTCCGTGTTGAGGCCAGAATAGACCCTAACGCATCTGTCTATACTCTCATACCACCTATCTGCGTCGCGTATACGGAGTCGTTCCCAACTTATGCAGACAAGGCTGCGAGTATGGGGCTTTCGGCGCAACGTTTATCCATCTCCGTGAAGGGACCCCTTGGCGTTTTCTGGCGCGTCTCTTCAAGGCCTTCCCAAATTCAGACAGAACCTCATTATTGAGAAGCGAACTAAAGCTATTCCGTCTGGAGGGGCAAGGGCAAACACGTATTTTGTGACTCAATGACACGCGCCTGAGTTGAATCCGTTCTTGCGCATCAAGCTCAGACCACAATGGCAACTACGTTGACCTCTAGAGATGAACCCAAAGCCGCAGAGTACGCTGGAGGTATGTTACAAAGTCCACAAACATTGCCCAATATGCCACTATCATTTTATGCCTGCCTGGCTTCCGCTAATGCTAAGGAAATGTGCAGACGAAGTCGCTGCGTTGGTGCTCGACCCGGGCTATTCCAGCGTCCGCGCCGGCTTTGCGGGCGAAGACACCCCAAAGTCGATTGTTCCTACATTCTACGCCTCGACCGGTTCAGAACGTTTCTTCGGAGACCATGCGATCGATGTCCCTCGTGAAGATGTCGAGATAAAGAATCCGATGGGAAGAGATGGCATCGTGGAGGACTGGGATGCGGCCGAGGCGCTGTGGAAGTTTTCTTTTGCGCACAAACTCACGGGCGTGCGACCCAATCGGGCGCTCCAAGAGTGGCTCAATGATCCCAAGTCGGTACCAGACCTCCAGAAGGCAATGGCAGATGCGGTAGACACGGAGCGGTGCCTGGAAGATCATCCTCTCTTCATGACTGAACCCTCATGGAATCCCACAAAAGCCCGCGAGAAGTGCGTGGAGATTGCGCTGGAGTCCTGGGCCGCGCCTGCGTTCTACCTGGGAAGGGCTGGCGTTATGGGCGCCTTCGCTGCAGGTAGACCTACTGCGCTGGTGTTGGATTTTGGGGCGTCTCAGGTATCAGTGACACCGGTGCACGATGGCATGATTTTGAAGAAGGGTATCATGCGGTCCAACATCGGAGGAAACTTCCTGTCGTCGCAGGTGCGCAACATGCTCGCCGCAAACGAGCCAGACCCGATAACCATCACACCCCATTATCTTGTTCAATCGAAACAGCCTGTGGATGCTGGACAGCCTGCCAATGCGGTGTTGAAGCAATTCCCAGAAGGGTTTCAACCGCCGCGACCATCGTTCCGCCGTTACCAGGAAGAGAAAGTCATTCTCGAATTCAAGGAGATTGCACTACAGGCATGGACGAATCCAACCACGCCATTTCGGGGGCAGGGTGAAATGATAGCGCGGGAGCAACAATACGCGCATCCGTTCGAGTTTCCAGACGGGTATAACCAGACGTTCTCGTCGGAACGGTTCAGATTGGTGGAGTCTATCTTCGACCCACAGTGCTGCTATGCACCTCCGTCCGAGTCTGAGGAAGCTCAACTGTACCCAGTACCCGATGCCCAGGGTACGGTGACAGGGTTGATCAAGGCCAGCCTTAACCAAGTGGACGTGGACATCCGACCGTTCTTGCTTGGCAACGTGGTCATCACGGGGGCAGCGTCGCTCATCCGGGGGTTGCCAGACCGGATTCAACAGGAGCTGAGCAAGCAATATCCCAGCACACGGGTACGAATACAAGCATCCGGAATGCCAGTGGAGCGGAAATTTGGCAGCTGGATTGGAGGCAGCATCGTGGCCAGTCTAGGCACATTCCATCAGATGTGGATATCCAAGAAGGAGTATGAAGAACATGGAGCCAGCATTGTGGAAAAACGCTGCAAGTGAGAAGGATGGACCGGGGCATGCGGACGGACAGGTCTGTTGGGTGGCTAGTCCGTGTTGGACGGGCCCGACCAAAGCAGCCAGGTGCATGAAACTACTGATTCAGGCTCGGAGAATTGAGTTTCTCAACCTGCGGAGTGACTGACTGGGGAAGTTCACAGCACAATTTGAGATCACGGGGGCTACGAGACCGTTACGGAAATACTGTGGAAGCGAGGGAAGGGAGAAAGTAAACAAACCCAATGGAAAAGCGTGGGGGAAAATATGCAAAGAGCGGCACCGGTCGCTGAAAGGATTGCCAGCGTTCTCAAGAGCGGATGCACGGCACATGATAAGACGAGAGCGAGGCACCGAGGGTAGGGAGGGGACCATGGTTAAGGCACCAAAACGGGGATCAGCGATATGACCCAGGACGAAGGAATTGGGAACGAAGCCGGGACGAACCAACCGGATGAAGAAGCGAGGGCGGTGAAGGGGAGGGGAGACGATGTTGGCACTGGTGAAGAGGACCAGAAGAACGGCACCGAGTTGGAAGCGAAGACAGACGAAGCAATCGGGCTGGACAGACCTAACAGGCAATGAATGAGCGGCCGCGGAGTGAGCGATTGTGTAACCTGTCTTGCCTGTCTGTGGCCGCCAGCATGTGCGGCATATGCACAACCTGCAGGCCGTCTGCACCTGAACCAGAAACTCGGGTCGCCGAAGGAAACGAAAATAAGTAGCTTAGTTAAATGCAAAGGATCCACGGGACGATGGAACGAGGAGAAGAGATGCAGGAAGCTGTCACCAGACACGTACTGATAGTACCTAAATACATACATATTACCGAGCACAGACCTTGCTAACGGAGGTAACTCACGCTTCGAGTAGTAGTAGTTGTTAGGGGTTTAGGAAGGGCGAGCTGGGGCTCACTAGGCCTAACAGTTACAAGGATGGTAGCCTATTACTGGGCACTGATCGACAAGGAGAGCCCGCTACAGGTAGGAAGAAAGCGGGGGTGATGGAGGTGAGGACCCAGTACCGGTAAATAGGGATTGTCGTTAGCTAAACTCGGGAGGAACGGATGATGATCCAGTTTGCCCAGTGCCCAGTATTTAACCAGTTTCCAGTGCCTGGGCATCTACCTAGGTGCTAGGGTGTGCTAGGTAAGGAACAGCGAGGGGTCCCAAGGGGTCCAAGGGTTCACCCATCCATAGGCGCTATTGCGCAACTGATAAACCACCTGATGGTGCCTATACCTAGGTACTACCTAGGGACTAGATACTCAGGTACTGTATCTACTACCTTAGGTAGGTAGGTAGATATCTAGATGGTGTAACTATCTGCACATGGTTCTTTTGCCGGCCCTCCCCAAGGCTCCTCTCCTTGTCACTGGGTCTTGTCGCTATCCCATCCACCCATCCACCTTCCACCTTCAACCATCCCATCTCCACACTTTTCATTCTCATCAAAACTCAACGGAACATTTTGTCTTGGTGGATCCTCCTGCAACATTCCCTTTGGTGTCCTTTGTCCTTTCCTTTGTCACAGGCCAGGCCCTCGACTCGTGAGCTTGTGGAACTTTCCTTGACTCGACTCGTGGTGCTCGTGGTCTGGTCTGGTCGGTTTTCACTTTATCGGTTTTTGTCGCCGTCTCCCCCTCCCCCGGCCCAATCTTTGGACGCTTTCAATGCTCATCCACCTGGATCCAACTCGAACCTCTAAAACAAAGTCAACTACCTTTCCTGAGTGCCGGTGGTATGATTTACTTGGACAGGTATTATTCAGCTTTTACAACCAAACTCTCTCGTCCCCTTGTTCTCACAGCATTTTCCCACAGATCCCCCTCCGGTCCCACGTCTTCGCACTCCTCAGACCATTCTACCGAGTATCTCTCCGATCGAATCGCCCAGACCATCTCCTCGTGGGATTCTCTACCACTTCCTTCCCATCGAAAAGCTTCTTCTGGAATGTCTTGCCTCCCAGCCTACTGCACAAAATCCCTAAACTAAAGTTGCCACTCGGCCATCGTCTGCATCAGCCTTTGCCCGGCGTCTTGGATCCGTCCGCACCCACCCTGAGACCCCGTTAATACGAACAAACTCTTTACCAGAGTCGACCGAGAATCCTCCCGGTCGCCTAACTCCCAACCTTAATTCCATCCCGCCACGATACCACAAAGTTTTGGGAATCCTTTTGCAGGTTCTGATGCCACCGAGTCAGGTGCATTAAGGTTCTTCCTCTGTTGAGCCTATGGCTGGTTGGCAGAATCATCTCAAGTCGTACCTCGCTCCGTTATGTCGTCTTCGGCGAGCCCTGTCCCTTCAACCACCCCCATTCAAACCATGGATTCTCCTCTAGTACCAGATTCTGAATCGACACATTCCTCGAGCGGGTATGCTCACTTGGATACGCGCTCATTGACTGCCAGTATAACCGACTACCCCGTTCACTGGGGCCGAAGATACCATCGATATAAGGAAGGC